GGGGGTTGCTCTGCGGATGACGGTAAATGATAGATAGGAGGGGGGTGTTTCTAAATTGACGTCATTCTTATTTATTTATTTAAAGTTTATTGTTCACGTACAAAAAGATTATTTCTAAAAAAAAATTGCTTCCAGCACACCTAATAAGTGAAACTGCAAATGTGAGAGGCGGCTAAGGCGTGTGCAATACTAAAATAACTCGTAATAAACATACAAGTAAAATAATAAAGGTGATTCTATAAGCAAGTGTTTTAATCATATAATACCGTATATTTCTCAAATCTACAATGTTTGAATTTCGTCAAACTGGCAATGACGTCAATTTTGGGAGGAGGGGGAGGGGTCATTAAGAAATGACGATAGGAAGATTGTAGGAGGAGGTCTAAAGTCTGTAAAATTCGATGACGTAATTAATGGGCGGCCCCTTAGTCGCGCTTTGATGCTATAAGCATATATGGAGGTGCACACTCGATTTTTTGAGTTGTGCAACTAAACAGTTGAATTTGCTGCGAAACAATAGACAATCACACAACAGTTGTGCGACAGTTTAGTCAAAGGTGTCCGCCCGCTTTTACTAAACATTGAAACAATAGGGCAAATGTCATCAATGATCGTTTAAAAACAATGCTAAGTATCTGATAAATAATTGTCAGCAGCATACAATGAGCTACTATTATATAAGGCAATTAAACGAGAGTTAACAATTGGAATCCATTAACCCATGCTATTGTTCTTATAAACGGCTAGCTTAACCACGCGACTCCGTCCGCGCGGAATAAAAAACTTAGTGTGTGAAACGAAATCAATTTAATCGACTTTGTAGACACGTAACAAACATCCATCCATCCAAACTTAAATCTTAATATTATAAATGCAAATGTTCAGATGGATGGATGTTTGTTAGAGTTTGCAGCTTACACTACTTAACGGATCTCGATGAAATTTTGTACGATGTAGAATATAGTCTGGGAGAACACATACTTACTTTTCTTTTTTTTTATTACGATGATGTCACAGGCGAAAACTAGTAATATAATACAGATGTACCCACCGTAAATGATATATTTAGATGGGTAAATAATGAAGGGGGAAAAATGTTTAGATATGCAGTAATTCCAGACCATTTACACAAGCAGGGTAATGAGTTTCTCCACAATTACACAAGTGATCTTATATTTCACACTAACGATGTTTAACTCTAAGACCTGTTTTCTCGAATGTTAGATAAGATCTATGGAAAATTATGATCTTAATGGTCCGGAAGTAATTACAAATGTGAATTAACTATGCATTAAGAACACGATAATTTTACATATGTATTGTAGCGTTAAAATAACAGTATTTAGCATATTTCCAGTAAATGGCTATCAAGATGTTTAAAACTACTATTTTGACAGTCGAATTGTGAACAGTGGTAGTGCCAGCTTTAACATCTTAGCGCTGCAGGGCCGGCACGCCCGGTGTAATACCACGACCACACAGAAGACAGGCGTGAAATGGATGCAATTCCGTGTTTCGTCTGATGAGTGTGGTGCCGGAGGCCTAATTTTAGTCCCTTTCTCTTTACCACCCTTTTCTTATAATGTAAGGAGAGGATTCGAAGGGGAAGTGGATTTGACGGTGGAGGAGATGCATAGAAAGGGGAAATATCCTTTTTATGTGCATCTCCTCCTCCGTCGTATAAGGTTAGGCAACGCATCTGCAGTTGCGGATGTCTATAGGCAGTCGCTTCGCCATTCTGGCGGATTCAGGTGGCCGCTTGCTCGTTTGCCACCTTATGTTATATAAAAAAATGTATAGTTAAAACGGATAAAGGCATAATTTAATTGTACAATTCTCAAGTTAGCTTACACGAAGATGTATAAGTAAAGTTAATTATAGTACGGTTGTTTAATTAATACAGCTGTCAATGTCAACTCAGCCTGTATATAAAATAATGCGATAAATGCGTATTATAAATATTCAAGATTATATTATCCTGTTTAATTATACGATTACCTTAGAAGGGCGTTTTTGCATATGCATGTACAGTAAGCAAAACAATTCTTAACTGACATGTGTGATACTTGGGTATCATTATTTCATTGGTGAAGTTTTTTTGTACCTAATAAAATTTTGCTATTTGTTAGTAGTTAAGTAAAATCAGTTTTGTTTTTTGGAAAGCTTTTAGTCCATGTGTGTCAAAGTATGTGATAAAATGTCGGTCAGGAGGACAACGATCGTTCGATTAATTTCGCCTGGCACACGAGAAACACTAATCATGAGTTCGCACTAACGAAACATTCTCGTAAAACGTGATAAGGGGTTTTTTAGATTGAGGAATAAAAAAATGTTTCATGTAAATGTTTCGGCAGTGTAAATGTAAACTTATGAACCACTTTCTTTTATTATCGCTGCAAAAATTATCTCAACACACATTTATAGATTGCGCCTAATTTCGGCTGTCTATTTGAAATATCTTTGCAATTGTTTGCATAACCTCTGATCAATTTTATTGTTTACAAAGATTAAATAAATGGCCACAGATTAAATCTAGGAATTCCTTTGTTTTTGATCATACAACCGTTATACGGGTTTATTAAATTAAAGAATTCGAAATTAGATTACGCATAACGGATTTCGTATGCCAACGTTCTAATTTTTTGTTTTAAATAACGGGTATTTGTTCAACTTTTTTTTAATGATTATAAGGCTGTAGTCGCCATCTTTGGGTAAAATTCAAACGCAAAATATAAATGAAATCTTTACCTTTTTGGGGCTAATGAAGCTTTATCACTATTAATAATGAAAATATTTTTTTTTAATAAATACAGCGAAAATGTTTATTTAAGTTTATTATTACAATACACCTCTCAAACTCTATTGTGTATTGGTGACATCTATGTCTATAACTTACTAGCTTTCGCCCGCGACTTTGTCCGCGTGGATTTAAAAAAAGCAAAAAGAAGCTTCTTTGCCTATGTGTTCTAGACTATCCTTCTCATCTACCCAAAGTTTCATCGAGATCCGTCCAGTAGTATAAGCTACAAGCTATAACAAACGGCCATCCATCTAAACATTCGCATTAATAATATCAGTAAGATACCAAACGAACATATAGGAATTAAAAAAATGTACCTTGTGCGCATTGTAGTGGGTGATCGGGAGATGATGGGTGGGGCAGTGGGCCTGGGAGTAGCCACTGCTGATGATGGACTACTCATCATCAGCTCCCCATCATCTGAGAACCTGAAAACATTAACATTCCAATAAACATCACTAAAGTAAATATTCTTATAAAAAAACATCGCGGTAAACTAATTGTCAGAGTAAATTACATAAACCCAGCTACACACGGTCTTTTTAGTGGTAGTGCCAGCTTTAACATCTTAGCACGAATTGGTCGGCACGCCCGGTGTAATACCACGACCACACAGAAGACAGGCGTGAAATGGAAGCAATTCCGTGTTTCGTCTGATGAGTGTGGTGCCGGAGGCCTAATTTAAGTCCCTTTCTCTTTACCACCCTTTTCTTATAAGGAGAGGTTGGGAAGGGGAAATGGATTTGACAGTGGAGGAGATGCATAGGAAGGGGAAATATCCTCTTTATGTGCGTCTCCTCCTCCGTCCCATAAGGGTAGGCAACGCATCTGCAATGGCGGATGTCTATGGGCAGCGGTCGCTTGGCCATTTTGGCGATTTTAGGTAACCGCTTGCTCGTTTGCCACCTTATGTTATAAAAAAAAAACACGTTCAATTTCAACTGCACAGTTCCCAAAGTGTGTAGCGGGCTTAAGAGACATACTTACAATTTTATTTTTAATCGTACAATTTGAGATGTTTATAAAAAAATATGGTAAAGATCCATCTCATCTCAAGTGTCGAACTTAAACATTACAGTTGAGGTTTTTTATCAAAAAAAAAACTGGGCAAAACCACTTTAAAAAAAAAAAAGTTAATATAAAGATGATCTTTGTCTTCGCAGTATCATAATGAGATATTCAATAACTGTTACATAAAATAACGCAACGGTTATCAACGAGTTATTAGCGTAATCAATCCATTATAGTCATTACACAACTATATAAGAACAATGTACATTATCTAACGTAACCGTGGTGTACACTCACACAACAGTATAAAAACACATTGTCATCTCGCTCATTTTCTTTGAAAATAGTGAGACAGCAATAGCATCTTTTCACGAATGTAGCAGTAAGTACGCTAACCCTGGATTATTCCCACAGTGTTTACATATGCTATTGACATATGTATTTTATAGTCTTATGAAAGGTAATTTTTCTTTCTATAATCTTCTATCGCGTGGTATTAAAAAAATCTAACCTAATTAGTCTATGCAAAAATCCAAAACGTAATCTGTACAGAACAGTAGTTTTAAATTTCATACAGATCCAACCAGTAGTTTTGGAATCACGTAACATAATCCATCCATCCATACTTTGTCTATAAGATTAGTAACACATAACATATAAATATATAACAATATTTACTCCCTAAGTTTAATGGCGTAAAAATATATAGTCTAAAGCATGACGTAAGTGTAGGGCTTTTTATTAAAAAAAGAATTATTCAAAAATATGCCGTAATCGCTGACATCTTAGGCAACAAGGAAGTGTGTGTTTACGCTTTATCATAATAGTATAGATATCGAATCTGCATTTAATAAAAAGATAATTGAGATTATTGAAGTCCATTAAAATTGAGCAACCATTTTCCTGAGTCTAATATTTAATTAGAAAAAATAAACGTGTTTAATGGAAATTAACGTAATTTGAATTTTATTACAACACGCACGCGACCTAGCCGCTAACTTAAAGCGATGATAAAAATAAAATAATTTTTTTAATTCAAATAGCTATATTTTGAAGCTGGCAAGATTTTTGTAGAGTAATAAATTAATAATGTTCTAGTTAAATTAATAAGTAAACTCTAACCTATAATTACTAAGATATTGAAATAAACCACACGTATTTAAGTTTTTTGGACACGATTTACTCCAAAAAATAAAACTAAATCTATTAAAACTTGGTCTGCGTACGGCGCTGGCTATGTCGCGGAAGATTGCGTGAGTGTTCCCGTGACCCATCCACCGGCGGACAGGAGGAATACCGCTGGGTTTTTAGTGGGTATTCCGGCCACGTCTTCTCTTTTGGCCGGCGAGACCCACATACCCCCTGGCAACGGGATGCGTAAAGGCATAATCCCAGCGAGAAAAAAAAGGTATTAGTCGGGAACTATTTAAGTTCTAGAAATATCGATATTGTAAACAATAATAATACCATAAGACTAGTTTTATTGAATGTGTTTTTTGTATTTAAAAACTGTTTTTTTTACGAATCTGCGCGTAAACACTGAACTTTAAATATTGTTTTTATAATCATGTTTTTTAAGTACTTTAAGTGATCTGGGTATTTTCATAAGAATACCAGTGTTTTTTTGCAAATCTTACTTTATAGGTTATAATAATACCAATTACTTGAATTTTTGTACTTCGTCTATATACTCTTTTTCGATTTGAATAACAAGTAAGTTTGGTATTTTTTGTGTTCATTTCAAACTCGTCTTAGCGAACCTGGATATAATTTTTGTATTATTTACTCTTGTCAGAAACTGAATAAAATAGCCTTTATAGGTATTAACATCAATTAAATCTTACTTCTTACTAATATTATAAATGCGAAAGTTTAGATGGATGGATGTATGATTGTTAGAGTTTGTCGCCTAAACGGCTAAATGGATCTCGATGAAATTTGGCATAGACGTAGAGGATAGTCTGTAAGAACACATAGGCTACTCAGTTGTTTTTTTTTTAATTCTACACGGACGGAGTCGCGGGCGAAAGCTAGTACAGTAATAAAGGAAAAAATGACGTTCTTATTTTCTTTATTAAGAGCAGAGTACAATAATTGGCACTTACTTTATTTGTCGAACTATGACTTTCTTAGGATGGCTAAGGTAAAAGACCCAAAAGCCGCTAGTAACGTAGTAATTAATAATTTTAAATTGTGTGTCTCATAAAAAGATATTCGATAACTTAATTCATATAAACATATTTAGTTTTGACTGCTTTAACAACTTTCGAATTGTTCAGTTAGACCTATGCAGGTGTGTAGCTGACTTTATAACATACAAAATGTTACTTTACTAATATTATAAATGCGAAAGATTAGATGGATGGATGGATGTTCGTTAGAGTTTGTAGACTAAGCAGCTGAACCGATTTCGATGAAATTTAGTATAGGTGTAGAGAATAGTCTGGAAGAACACATAGGCTACTCACTTTTGTTTTCTTTCCCACGCGGACGGAGTCGCGGGCGAAATCTAGCTTCTTGTACATGCTACATGTGTGATTTTTAACATAGCTTATCAATAATAATAAAAGTGAGAGTTTACCTGTTTAGTAGTAAAGGTCTGGGTGGTGTTGCCGATGTTGGTAATGGCAAAGTGGTGGGGTTGGTGAGCGGCACCGCACGCGATGTTGATGGCGTTGCCGGTAGCACTGACAGCACGTTAGGCTGCGGCGGCGGTTGCGGTGAAGGTGAACTGGGATTGTCATTAGCTGCAAAATTATCACATAACTTTTAGAACGCATACAGAGAGCAAAGAATGAAAAATATTGTGTAGTGTAGTGGTAGGTATCACTAGTGATGACCTTCCCTAATCAGATGTCCTGATAAAAGCAACATTATATGAAAGATGACATATTGTCACCGTGCCCGATCGCTAGCCTGACAAGGCTACGTACTGGTTAATTATTGGAGACAAAGCCCTTCATCGATTTTCTAGAAATGTCATCAGTCGATAGTATGTTAAAATGATGTTATGATTTCTTTCCCTAACATAAATTGAAATTGACAATCGAAGGTCCATATTGACGGTCAAGGTGAGAGCAATGTAATCACAATTGAAATGGCCTCGCGATGCTTATTTTCTTTCTATCCTCAATACCTTAATTGTTACATCACGTCCACATTTCTATTTAGAGACGTAACACCTCGGAAGTTAAGCCTACGAGGTCATGCTTTAATTTGACGAATTAATTTTAACTTGACAGTTGAATATGATTCAATTGTAAAGTTACATGCAAAAATTCAATCTCTCATTCGAATTTTCTTGAGTACTTTGCATGAATTAAAAATTGTTTATCTACCATTTATCTTAAAAATAACTTTAATACGACATAATTCTTACGATAAATCGTTAAAAATTTAATTTGCTACGCATTATCATCTCCATGTTTGAGATTGTCCACTTTATTTAAGGGTCGGCAAAAAAATAATAATAAAAAATCTTACTGTTTCCAGTTATGGTATTGAATTGTTCATTCGCCAAAAACACTTCGAAATATCTTGTAAAGTCACCAGTCGGGTCCCATTTGGTAGCCAATTTGGCCCACTCTTCTGGATACTCGGTCTTAAGTCTCTTGATTATTTTCACTGCTGTTCTCTTCTGCCTTTCTGTGCAGCGTACACATTTCGTTCTTAATGCTTCTGGAAGTAACCCTGTAGGAGAACAACTGGTATTAATTTTTAGGAAACTGCAATAATTGTAATCTACCCACATATCTATATTTACTAATATTACAAAGAGGAAATATTTGTACTTTTGTATGTATTGAAATAACTCCAAAACTATTGGGTCTATTTCAAAAATTCTTACACCATTAAAGAGCTACGTTATCAGTGAGTAACACAGGCTAAATTTTTTTTAATTTTACACGGACAAAGTCGCGAGCAACAGCTGTATTTACATGAAGGGAAAATTTTGTAATTTTTTTAAGGATTGCGAAATATAATTATTTCTATCATGACATGAATAGACACAAAAATAAAACTGTTTCAAAAAAGTTTTATTGATGATAAGTAATGAAAAATAAAAATACAAGTTGTGTAGATTGCTTGAGTAGGGTCAACTTATAAAAACCCTGCAACTAACATGGGTTCGATCATAAAATAACCTTTATGATGGGTATACTTTATCGTAATAAATTTATAATTAGCATGACAATGGAGGGTTGGCCTGAGTTTTTTTTTTTGCAATGGTATTTTCGTTTTTCGTATTGCCGAAAAATACTTTGTAAAAGTTCAAATTAATGGTAACTGCTCCTCCTCCTACTTAGGTTTATTAGCCTATTTAGACCCTAATAAATATTGGTTTTGAAAGTAAATAACATCGATGTGTTTTTAAACTAAATCGAATCGAAAATCGTTTTGAATCGTGGTCAAGCGCTGGAGAAAAAAAATGCACATTTTTTTTCGAATTGTTGGATTTAGAATTAGTACCATTTTAAACCGAAATGAAAATACTAAATAACACAACGAAATTTTGAAAATATAATTGGTACTAAATAATATATTCAAGTGTTACCAACATTATTATTTTGGTAAAATTATTTTAGTTTACGAGGAACAGCTTTAAGTAATAAGAAGATTATTATTTGAGTTTTATGATTTACCTCCGTCTCAACAAAAAACTAAATTATTGCTTGTTTCATTCCTTTTATTTGGATCTTGAATAAATTATTGTTTGTATCTCATGTCTCCAACATAAGTTAGATTGTGGTATATTACTTTTGTAAGATAAATATCGGAAAACATAACCAAAATATTTCATCACGATATTCGGTACCCAAAAAAGTCTTTGCAATGTTATATGCTATCCAAATATGCAGAAACGGATAAGCAAATAATTCATCTAGTATTTATCTATAGATCATTAATTCAAAATGCATGTGGGTTGACGAATTTACCTAATAAGTATAGATTGCTAAGCAAAGCTGATTTTAGAATGATTTAGATAGCTTAATTCAAGAAGATCTTGACCTAAATGTAGATTGTAACATACATATTAGTCATACGATATGTTCAGGTTTAGATTATTGGAACTCATTCAGTTAAACAGACAGCGCCATTTTATCGCTCATTGCTCTAGGTACAATCGTGTGTATTGTAACAAAGGGTCTTAAAGTTTGAGGTTAACCATCCAATTTCCTGAGTTTTATTCAACGATTTTACTCTATAGATACATGTACATTTAGTTAATAGTTTTGTCAACTGTACCAGTCCACAGAAGCTAAAATATGGCCCTCCAGTGAATTTAAATGTAGCGACGGTCCAGCGTATCGACTATTAGACATTTTAAAAAAATACCGAGCACGAAAAATTTGCAGTAACATCAAGCGGAAAAGTATAAAGAAAATGATTATTTATAACTCATTTTTACATAGTATCTCTGCTAGCAAGAGTTACATAAAAGTGTGCCAAGATCAAAAAAGGTTGGGAACCCCTGATCTATACTGTTTTAAGTTATTTGTTAAAATTAAGTCGCTCTTATCGCAAGTTTTAACAGTCGTAATAAACGGACAATAACAATAACCTATGAGACAAGAGACAGAGGTCCAACAGAATGAGACAGAGGTCCAACAGAATGAGACTGATTTTTTGTCAGCCTAGACTTAAATGTTAGTAAGTGTTCGTGTGAAATATCTAAAAAAATCCTTGATAAAAAAGCCACAATGATCTTGAACTCACGTCCTTAACATTTTATCTTTACATGTAAACTTTTTGTCATAATTCAATGATGCTACACAAAAACAGAACACGTGTTATGAATATGTAACATAACATGAAGGTTTGTATTTGCAAACTAAAGTTCATATCAACATTTTATACGGACTTGGAAATGTGTTATATTTATAAAGTAGTAAACAAAGGTCAAACTTGCCAGTTTTTTATTACAAAATTGGATAAATAAGTAATCTATACTATTATAATAAAGCGTAAATATACACTTCTTTGTTGCCCAAGATGTCAGAAATTACAGCATATTTTTGAATAATTATTTTTTTTATTAAAAAGCCCTACACTTACGTCACGCTTTAGGCTATATATTTTCACGCCATTAAACTTAGGGGGTAAATATTTTGGACAATCCTAATGTGGGAAAGAGACCATAAGTTGCTGCCAACATCAAGAAAACAAGATTGCCAAGTTTTGTCATGTCATAATCATTTTGATATTTGCAATTTGACAATTTGACACATTTAAACAATAAAATAATTTAACGCAGATGAAATCGCACGGGAACAGCTAGTATTTATATGTTTCTGCGAAGGCTGCATATAATTTTATCCGCACGCGTTCATATTCTTTAAGTGGAAATAAATGCTAATTATTACAATTTCAATTGACTTTGATATTTATTTTATTTGCAATAATCCTCAAATTAAACCTTAATTAAGTTAGTTTAATCGTTGTATTTTTTCGCAAAATGTTTTTAGAATCTCCAAAATGATCTATTGTAAAACACAAGTTAGTTGATTTTTAGCTTTTAAAAAAACTAATTACAGTTAATTTAAAAACTGTAATCATCTTGATTACAGGCTTAAAACAAAATTAACAAGATCTTTTAATTATTTAAGACTAGTTTTACACGTGTCTGCTACTGCTTAATTTATGCTTTATTTGAATATCCATGCTACAAATCGATATGTACCCCACGGTTCTACATGTAAAGTCTAACAGCCTTATAAATAAACGCGGTATAAAGTTAAACTTAGGAATAAACTGAGTATAAGCAAAATTCGTACTAATATTTATTAATAAGGGGGTAAAAATTAAATTCACACTGATGGAAATGTTCAGCAGAAAAAGCTAAGTTAGATCTCTACAACCATTACGTGAACATTTCTATATGTCCATTATTAAGGCAAGGAATATTTAAAAAGTAATAAGAAGTCATAGAGTTTTGTATTGTTTTCGCGGACAGATTCTCGACGTATGAAGAAATGATAACATGATTTATTTTACAACAGCCCCATCAATCATACAGACGCGTAAAAACTGGTCGAGAAGGCATCTGCGAAAACCAGGCCAGGCAAGTTAAACGAAATTTTCCTATATTATACAGGTACAGTTCGAAAAATAAATGAAATTATTACTCCTGTTGATTATATTCAAAATTGTGTGTTATCTGTAAGGTATTTCCTTAACAGTTTAATGCTCAATTTTGCACCGATGTAGAGTATAGTCTGGAAGAACACATTGGCTACTTACTGTTTTTTTGTACCGCGCATATATTGCGGTTAAAAATAAGTCTTATTTAATTTAACAATATATGTATATATATATACATGTACTTTTATATAACCTATCGATGCAGGGGTTTTAATTATTTTAAATGTCACCCATCATTTTTATATCTTCGATACAATGATTCTAAGCCTATACTTTTAGAGTCTGTCGTACCACTAGCTGATAGAGGTTCTGATAGCTTAAAAATTACGTCATTGTTAGATAAGAGAACAAAATCCAATATTTCTGTCACATAATTTACAATTTGGTGGAACACATCCTTAGTCTCCTTGATTATTTAAAGACGGCTATATTTACAATACATACGTAATCTGGGCTTATAGTTATTCTTGTGATGAGTTTGTACACGAGACGAATTCTAACAATTTCCGTACATCTACAACAAAGAACTATTTTGTTAAAGTAATACTTTAATTGTATAATATAACAAAAGTTTAGTACACTATCAAGTTCGGCGTCATTTGTAATGAAAATTAGGAGTAAAAATAGCTACAGTTCAGTATTAACTCAAAAATTAAACTGTTCAGTTAAAACTGTGCATGTGTAGGTATACCTTTAACTATTAGAACTGAATAGTTTGAATAGTCAGTTGAACTATTTTTTTTATAAAATAAGGTGGCAAACCAGCAAGCGGCCACTTGAATCCGCCAAAATGGCGAAGCAACCGCTGCCCTTAGACATCCGTAATTGCAGATGCGTTGCCTAACCTTACCGCAGAGGAGGAGACGCACATAAAGAGGATATTTCCCTTACCTATGCATCTCCTCCACCGTCAAATCCACTTTCCCTTCCCATCCTCTCCTTATAAGAAAAGGGTCGTAAAGTGTAAGGGACTTAAATTAGGCCTCCGGCACCACACTCATCAGACGAAACACGGAATTGCTCCCATTTCACGCCTGTCTTCTGTGTGGTCGTGGTATTACACTAGGCGTGCCGGCCCATTCGTACTAAGATGTCAAAGCGGGCACTACCATTGTTGAACTAGTGAACAGAATAGCTCTACTAACGTCTCCAGCGGGCTTTATGTGGCCTCAATGTCAAATTATTATCCTCCTCTCTTATCAGTCGGGCAAGAAGGCTTACTATCAACTGCAACTTTAGGATTGGATCTGACTTTGATGTTTTGACTCAGATTAGATCGGTTTAGACAAATATAATAAGTCCTTATAAATAAATGTTTCCGAGTACCGATCCTTTGATATTCAAACTCAGTATAACATTTCACACAATGAATCACTTTATTCGTAGTAAATGTAACTCATTGCGACTCCTAATGAATAATAATAGTGTTTACTATTACTATAGTATGGCGTATCAAAATATAGCAAAAAAAGCAGGATATACATTTTCAACAATCTGAATGTGCATGCGTTTTGAATCCTGAAAACAAACACAAAAATACACAGAAA